GCATGTGATGATTTAAATCTAAATTATTTAAAATTAAATAAGATGAAGAACTCAGTTCCTCCGTCACACTAGCCACATTTCAAGTGTCCAGTGGCCACTGGTAGCTGGTGGCTGCTGAGTTATTAGACAGTGCAGATGCAGAATATTTCCATCACCGCAGCAGGCTCTGTTGGACGGAACTGGTATCAACTAACTTTCATTGGCCTGCGTGTCCTCCCTGGGGTCCAGGCCTATATAGGTGCAATGCCCAAAGATGTATAGCATGCAGGACTAGATTCAGGGGAATGCCAAGGTCTGGAGGTTCTGGAAGCTTTGCCTTTTCATTGAGCGTACTCCTTGTCGGGGGAGAAGGTTCCTGGGGGGAGAGAACTGTGGGATCCCTGTGGATAGTCCCTGCCACCAGCAGGTGCAGCCCCTTAAGGTATCAGATTAGGGAAGTGAATGCTGAAAGGGGGAGTATTTACTAAGCTAGCAGTTTCTTGAAATTCTGAGTGGGACCTGCCTTCTGATTCCCAAGGACAGTGAAGCCCTCGGAGCTGGAGCTGAAAAGGGACCCTGGAGATCAGAGGCCCTACTCTGTGCAGCATTTGTGTCTTAAGGCCATTTAAGAACATTTAGAAGTTTTTGGTGAGTGGCAATATCCCTCACCTCTGTGTGTGTGTGTGTGTGTGTGTGAGAGAGAGAGAGAGAGAGAGAGTTTATTTAGAAGTTGGTTGAAGGTGACTGTGGGGCTTCTTTAGTTGAAATGTGGGTGCCATTTGCAGTAGATGCTGACGCAGCTTCATGGGTGGTGGTTTTGTGAGCATATAACCCATAGTCATCATCAATCTACATTTACGGCGCATGCACAGCTTGCCCACAGCGTACAGGGGACACACATGGTCTCTGCCCCTACGGCTCATGTGCCAAGTGGCTGGTGAGTTGGGAGGCAACCAGCTTTCCTGGGCTTGTGTGATCAGAGAGGGCTCCCTGTAGTGTCCACACAATGTCTTGTAGGTGACCATAACTTTGTGCCTAGAGGTACCCTATGTAGGACTGGCTCCAGCCGCAGGTGAGGGGCAGTGGGCTGATGCTTTCATTCTTTCTTATTTTTTTTTTCATCTTTCAACTAACATCCTCTAGGCTGGTGCTTTCTGAGGGCTGCCGGTGGCAGAGACAAATGCAGATACGAATCCAGTCTAAAGAAAACGGTGGAGTAGGTCTTTAGCACGCAGATATGTGTTGCTATATTGTCCTCTTGATCTGAAATGCCCTTCTTTTTATCCTAGTTTATTCAAATTTGATTTCAGGGACCAATCCTGTGTATCTATCGGGAACCAGTCACACCAGTAATCTGACTGGGGAAAACATTTTATTTTTTTAATTTCTGAGATCTTTATTTCATGCTGATTATCATGTAAATAAACTGCAGAACACACACTGTATTAAAAAGTTCAGCATGGAATCCAGTCTTTTGTTTATTTATTTATTGACTATTTATTAAAGTTTTTATTTAAATTCCATTTAGTTAACATACAGTGTAATATTAGAGTTAGGTGTACAATATAGTGATTCAACACTTCCGTACCTCACCTGGGGCTCATCAAAGCAAGTGCACTCCTTAATCCCCATCACCTGTTTCTCTCATCCCTCCCCCCCCCCCTCCTCTGGGAACCATCAGTTCTCTATAGCTGAGTGTTTCTTGGTTTGCCTCTCTCTCTCTTTTTTTTCCCCCTTTGCTTATTTATTTTGTTTCTCAAATTCCACATATGAATGAGATGATATGGTATTTGTCTTTCTCTGAGTGACTTACTTATTTTCCTTAGCATAATACTCTCTATCTCCATCCATGTTGTTGCAAATGGCAGGATTTCATTCTCTTTTATGGCTGAGTAATATTCATATATATGTGTATATCTATCTATCTATCTCACATCTTCTTTAGTCATTCATTATAGGCTGTTTCCATAATTTGGCTGGTGTAGACACTGCTGCCGTAAACACCAGGATGGGTGTATCCCTTTGAGTTAGTATTTTTGTATGCTTTGGGTAAATACCTACTAGTGTGATTGCTGGATCATAGGGTAGCTCTAGTTTTAACTTTCTGAGGAACCTCCATACTGTTTCCCAGAGTGGCTGCACCAGTTTGCATTCCCACCAACAGTGCAGGAGGGTTCAAGGGCGGAAAACTTAAGAGAACAGATTATTAACTGGTAAAAGTAAAGGGTCGTTAACTCCTAAAAGGAGTAAAAGAAGATCCTAGGGTGGAGAAGTAGTAAGCACATAAAGCAGACGCCCCCTCTGGGGCTGAGGGGTAGTGAGCCAGGACAGACCTCAGCCGACGGCCTCCCGCCTGGGAGACTGAGGTGGAGGTCTGCCCCATGGGGAGCAGACACACGGTGGAAGGCACGGTCCATGGGAGCGGCCTACTGGGTGGCGGTGGAATTTGCAGGAGGGTGTGGCCCGGAGCTATTGGATGGGAGCAGCCTGCTGGCTGGTCAGAACACTTGCCTGAGGGTGTGGGCCCAAGTTGGTCCATCAGAGGGACCTGCCTGGTAGTGGGGAAATTTAGTGAGGGTGGGCTGGTCTGGGAGGGCCACGAAGGGCACACCCCAAACCACCGGCCTGCTGGCTGCTGAGCTAAAATGGCACATCGGCACCAGGAAGAGAGCCCCCTTGCCCTCTGTGGCCTCAGTGTTCCTCCAGAGCCAGCTGTTGACAAAGCCGAATAAGAAGCCATCTGACAGAGGAGAAATGACAGTGTGCAGCCCCAGGGTCACAGCGCAGGGCGGAGAAGGGTGACTTGGAGCCTGGAGGCCATAGATCTGAGCACCACACAGCCACCTGCCCTCCTGTGAGCCAAGCCTCGCCTCTAATTCCAGCCCCCTTGTTTCTTGCATCTGAGCTTCTGCGGTTCTCAGTGTGATCCTGGTGTTGCGAGTCATTCTCTGCGTGCGAGCGGCTCGGTCACGTCTTCCCATGTGCTGGGGGTGGGGGGGTGGGGCACGGAACCTGGCCTGCTGTAAGTCCCAGTGAATACACAGTGGCTGAGGTCTTTACTGGGCAGGGAGGGGAAAGTGGGGTGTGTCCTCACCTCACCTTCCGGTCCTCTGCTTCCATGTGGTCTTGACTCCAGAGCAGCTTTGACGTGGGGGCTGAGCGTGCCTCCCTGGGGGAGAGGGCCGCTGGGTGCCGGCCGGACGTGGGCTGCAGTCTTGCTGTATCTCAGGACTGATGGGTTGTGGATGCCTGTCTGTTGCCTCTCATTCTGCCAGTGATTATGACCTCTCCTCCTCTGGGTTGGAATTTGGGGAATGATTATTTGAGCTCCAAGAAGTCATTTGTTCACACCAGCCTGGACCTTTGCTCTGGGAGGAAATGCCCAGTTCCATGTTTGACCATGTGTGCCTTCTTTCTCACTTCCTTGAAACCAGGGCTTGAGCATGGCCTTGGCCAGCCACACCACTCATTTCCTGCCGTCTGCCACTGGTCTGCTGAGTCCCCAGCTCCAGAGTCTTAAAGAGAATCTACCCCTTTCCCACAATCCTTTGACACATCTAAGAGCATGCTCTCTCTCTTAATTTCTTAGGATTAATGTCCTTCTTCCTGGTCCTCCTATCGGGGAAAAAAAGACTCTCCGTGGCCCAGCTTGGACCAGGTATTTGCATCCAGGCTGGAGGACTCTGCCCAGGGGGATGGAGCATATGTGTATAGGGTTCCCCAAGAGTGCATTGGGGTGGGAGGCAGAGGCGTCTAGCAGGGCCAGCCGGAGTTCAGGGCATCTCCTCTGCTGTGGTGGGGCAGGGGAGATGGGCTCCCTGGCTGCTGGGACAAGGGTGTTGAGGACTGTGGTGTTATCTTCTTAATTTCTAAAGGAACAGTTTTCTGTGTGGTTCGCTTGGCAACTAATTGTATAGGATCTTTAACTGTTTCTTCCATCGTTGTTGCCAAAAGTTATTTAATTCCTCAGGTGGTTTATTGCCTCCAATATGTGCTTAATTATGTCAGTATCTTCCATAACACTTAAGAGACTGTAAGTCCGTTGTAGATGTTTACCCCCTCTTGGTTGATTTTGTGGGTGGAAGGGGTCCCACAGGGCACTGGGTTCCCTTTCCTTCTCTCTGTGCTCATGGCCCCATCCTGCCTCAGAAGCTGTAGCTCCAGGAGGGCAGGACCCTCACAGTTCCAGGACCCTCGGCTGAGCTGGAGTGATACCTGGGGGATACACAGCCTGGGGCCTAAGGGGGGCCATCTCCCAGCTCTGGAAGGACAGAGGGCATCAGGCTGCAAGTTAAGGCTGCCCTGTCCTAGGCGACCCACCCAGCTGCCTGTTCCATGCACCTGACATTTCCCAGTAAACTTTTCTTCCAGTTAAGAGGAGATCCCTGTGAAAGTGTGCTGAGTTAAAAGAGCTGCAGGTTTGGAGCATTTTCTAGACCTCCTTTTCTAGACCTCCTTTGATCTTTATGAGCTATTTCTTCATAAGCACAACATCTGAGTTTCTTATTTTTAAAGATACCAGTACCTGACTCCCTGAGCTGCTGTAAGGATTCAAAGAAATGATGCACATGACCATGATTTAGAAACTGTAGACCTCTAAGCAGATAGTGTTATTAGTGTATCTGAGGCTTGGGTGGCACGTACTTTTACTCTGTGCACCCTCAACTGAATCATTAGTAGATTAGATTTGGTTAAAAGCCTTGAACGAGTGCTCTGGTCCCTGGGCCGGGTGACTTTTGATGCGAAGAAGACCAGAAGCATGGGAGCATCGGGCGTCTGAGGAGGCCGGCCTCCGGCTGAGGCTGGGATCGACTGCTCTAGGTCCCAAGACTGGAGGAGAGCACTGAAGCAGAAGGCGAGTGAAGGTGCATGCGTGTGTGCGTGCGTGCGTGCGTGTGTGTGTGTGTACGTACTCTGGGGAGCAAATCAGGGTTTTCCGGCAGAGGGGGCAGGAAGAGGGAACGATGTCCTGTGGACAGCGGGCGCTCACACCTCTCTGGCGCTGGCCTGTCTCCCTGCAGGTGCACCTCCGTTCTGCCAGGCGTCTCTTTGAGCTGTGCTGTGCCAACCGGGGCACTTTCATCAAGGTGGGCCAGCACCTGGGGGCCCTGGACTACCTGCTGCCGGAGGAGTACACCAGCACGCTGAAGGTGCTCCACAGCCAGGCCCCGCAGAGCAGCATACAAGAGGTCCGCCAGGTCATCCGTGAGGACCTGGGCCAGGAGGTGGGTAGCTGCCAGGGCCAGGACGGCTGGGTCCTGGGCTGCCGTGTTCTCGAAGGGCCTGGCAGAGCTCTCGCTGCTGGGGGGCTGGGGCTCCGCCGCTGGAGCGGAAATGTACTTCCCGGCAACTCTCAGTAGTGAAGTCAAAGGGGTTACAAGGCGCCTCAGTGGCCCTCCGTAAAAAAGATGACTTGAACCATCTGAAATAGCTGATATGCGATTGCTATTGTTCTGCAATGTGATGGGATCCATAGGGTCCAACCTAATAACATCTGTCAATTATTGAGGCTTTACTGTGTAAGAACAGTTGTACTGTGCCCCCTGCATTATCTCACCGCTCCCTCAGGGTAAACGTGGGAGGTAGGGACTGTTATTTACCCCATTTTGCAGATGAGGGATAAAGGCTTAGGTGGAGGAGATTCAGCGAAGGGTAAACCCAATTTAGGGCTGGAGGCCAGGAGGAGCAGGGTTAGGATGGAGGGACCCCAGGCGGAGGGGACAGGATTGGCACGGCACAGGCCCGTGCGTGGCTTTGCTTCTTGCCAAGACTATGGGCCTCCTGCTTCCTATAGCACGAGATTCACCCCCAAATTAAAACTAAATAAATCACTGTAATAACAGTGCGAAGTGCATCATTGCTGGCATGTGGCAGCTCAGTGGGGGCGGATGCAAGGGAAGGAAGGCAGCAGATTAACCCTTGGAGGCCAGCTTGTCTATGGAGAGCCTTAGGGGGAGGCAAGAGCTGGTCAGTGGCCCCCTCTAAGTCAGGGTGGAGTGAGATGAGAAGTTTGGGGTGTCAGCTTCATGGTGGGGCCCACCCAGCTGGCCAAAGGATGTTTGGGGTCAAAAGATTTCATCTGCATCTTCAGGGCCTCTTCTCTAGTCCCCCTGGCCATGTAGTCCTGAGCTTGTCTCGAGCCCTCAGAGAAGGGAGGCTAATGTCAAGGTCACGGTTCTGAGGGGGCGTCCTTCACAGCTGGGAAGCTCAGCAACCTCAGGTTTCTTAGCCCGGCCCCCACAGGCACACAGTTGAACTCTTTGCTCTCCCTCCTGCTTCCTCCTCCCTCCCGGGAAGATGGCATTTGTTCTCTGGTGACACACTTTCTCAGTCTGTGGGTGGAGGGAGGGGAAAGGGGCTGCGTGGGAAGCAGGGTAGGTGGGTGTGGGGGTGTGAGGGCGGGGAAAGTCACTCACTCTGCACTTCCCTCCTCCTCCCGCCTCTCCCATGACACTGATGGGGAGCAGCTCTCCCTGCCAGGAAGAGGTCTGAGCAGATCCCACTGATTGTGGGCTCCACATCGGCCCTGGGACCCTCCGTGGAAAGCTCTGTTTCATCCCTGGTTTCAGGAATGTGGTTAAAGGGGGCCGAGACTGTCATGTATCACCATCTGCTGGCTGGGTTCAAGTCCTCGGATGGGCTCTGAAGACCCCTGGAGCTCAAAGACTGTGTAGCTGCCCCTGAATCTCAGACTGAAAGAGCAGGGAGAGGCTAGAGGGAGCTCGAGCTGGTGTGTTGGGGCTGCACTGGTTGATTGCATCTGTGCCTCTTGAGGACCCTTCCCATCAGCAGAGGCCTTACAGGGTCACTGGTGTCCTCACACCAGTCCCTGTCCCAGGCAGATGGGGCTGGCCCTGAGGGGTGTCCCCAGCAGGGTGTGGGAGATGAGAGTGAGCTTGCATCTCTCCTGAGCCCCATGATTTACATGTGGCTCTGAATCCGTGCGAATCCCTGTACAACAGCCAGTGCAATCAGCGTGGAGGGAGAGCGAGTAGAGGGGCACTGTCGTGGCATAGGGGTGTGTGTGGCTGGGGTGGGGGTGGGGCCGCAAAGCTAAGGGAGAAGGGTGTGAGCGACAGGACGAGGCCTCGGATCTTCTGACTGCCAGCCTAGTGCTTTGTCTCCTATGTAACAGAGCTCCTGTTTGGAGGAAATCGTTTGGAAATCTATTTTCTGTGTCTGTATGTCTGTGTCTTGGAAGTTTCTCAGCTAGTATTACCAGAAAGAAGCTTGCTTTTTTTCCTTTTATTTTAAATGCTAGGCTTAAGTCCTGAAGGACAGGATCTGGGAAGCAGTTAGCAGCCCGAACTCTAGGAGGTGGGGGTCATTTTTGGTGACTCCAAAGTGACCTGGGTCTGGAGAGGGTTGGAAATGGTCTCCACCTTGGTCCCCTAACTGCCCCTGGGACTGTAGGTCCAGGTGCAGTGCCGACCATAGCCAGCAGATGGCGCCGGAGCTTGAGTGTCAGGGAAGGATGCTGAAGACTTGGCCCTTTCCAGGAGAGGGCAGCCCTGACTGGCTGAGGCTTGAGTTCTTTCTTCTCCTGGTCATGGTTCATGCCGTGGAAGGAGCCCAGGCTGACACCTTTGCACCCTGAATGGGGCAAACATAGGCCTAAGCCATGAGGTTATTGACCACCTTGGTCCCCAGGAGTTCTTGGCTCCCTGCTGGAGGACCTGGCAGGGTTCTGACCACCAGCCCATCCTTACACATTCCTCTTCTGGACTAGGAGCCCTCAGAGGCCCCCTGCAGGCATGAGCAGCCTGTAGTTCTGTGTTTTGATACCTGTTCCTTCATTTTCCTTCTCGCTCGTTGTTGTCCAAGCAGCTGGTATTTAGTGAGGAAGGCACAGTGCTAGAAGCTTTGGGTTTAGCCAAGGATGGGTAAGACCTCATTCCAGACCTTGTAGTGTGGGGTCATTGGGAGGTACACATCACTGTGGTAGCTGGCCATGTGCATGCCCACAGGGTTTACAGGAAAGAGAGAGGGAGAGAGACGGGGAGAGAGGTTACTTTTGGGTGGGTGGAGGCTGTCTGAAGCAGATGGCATCTGACCCAGGCTCTCAAGGATGGCTGGGATTGGAAGAAGCAGAGGTTGCAGGAGGGGACTTCTGATTGGTGAGATGGGCTAAGCAAAGGTACAGGCATGGGAAAGCATAACGTACAGAGATTGCATGGTGATAGTCTTCTTAACTAGCATGTGGGGTTCAGGTTGGTGAATAGTGGAGCTGAGGTTGCAAAGTTGGTGCTGAGGTCACACTATGAAGGGCCTCAAGTGTTTTTTTCATAACATGAGCCTGAGGGAGAGAGGAGAACTTGGAGAGGGACCCAAGCAAAGAAGGATGGAGTGGGGCCAGATTTTCTTGGCGAGGTGGGAGATGAGGACGTCTTTCCCAGGTGGGGAAAGGGAAGGTGGGAGGTTTGAGGTGGGTAGAAAGCTTGGGGAGGGGAGTTATAGTGGGACTTAGGAAGAGGTGATAGAATTGTCAGCTGCACTGGTACAGTTATTGGTGGTCATGGACCTACTCACATCCCTCCTCCCACCCCGTCCTTAACACACACACACACACACACACAGTCTGATCTCATTACAATATATTTCAGTAAATGATCCAGTTTTGCTTTTTGTTTTGGAATATACTTGAATCAGATTAAGGTTCTTTCTAGCTCTAAAATTGTATGAAAAACTGAAGGAAATGAGGTCAGGTGCCAGAGTGATGCACAGAAATACCTTTGTTAGGGGCACCGCTTGTACTGATGTTGGGGGATTGGGGTTTGGCTTGTGTACTCTGAAATATGTTGGTTTTTTTTTTTTTAAACTGCAGTATTTTATTAATTTCTGACTTTCTAAATTATTTATTTTAGAGAGAGAGAGTGTGTGCACATGTGCAGGGGGGAGGGGCAGATTGAGAGAGAATCTCAAGCAGACTCCACACTGAGTGTGGAGCCCAATGTGGGGCTCGATCTTAAGACCCCGAGATCACAATCTGAGCTGAAACCAAGAGTTAGATGCTCAACCGACTGTGCCACCCAGATGCCCCTCTGAAACATGATTTATCATATCAGTCTTCAAGTCAAATCAAGTCTGATCTAGACTTGAACTTGTTCTGTAACTTCCTATAGTACCCGGGGACACATGCTGTGTGTCACAGGAGATCCATGTTCTTGATGGACCATCTGTCCAGAGTGGCCATTGGAACATGGAAGAGAACCACTGTGCATCAGGTGGGAGAATGCACACCTTGTGATTTCTTATGGACCTACAGGTACAGGTGGAGGGTAACATTGTTGTCTTGCTTTAAAGGCTCAAGTTATAAGCAAAAGTTCAGGAAAGAGATAAAGAAACTTTTCCCCCAGGAACCTCTGTCATTTATTAAGCTTGGGTGGGGGGTGGCAGAGAGAAGGCACTCTTGGCTTGAGGACCAGCAGGAGCAGAAGTAGAAGGCAGGGAGGTGAGGTAGGAGAACGCCTGGCCCATATGAGGGCTTCCTGGTGGTGGGGGCACCAGGTGGGGGCAGTGCAGACCCTAGACAGAGATTGGAGCAGGGGCTTCCATGGAGGCCTCAGGGCTGGGTGAGGGGGCGCTGGGCATGGATGGAGGATGGCAAACTCTGGGCTGATCCTTGTCATTTCTGCATGCCTGCATGTAGAACCTCTGCTGGTACCTGGAGAACTGTGTGAAAAGCAGGAAAAGGCACCCACTCTGGGCACCCCTTCCTGCAGGTGGCAGCTCTGCCAGGGCTGGATTTCCTTCTTCTATTAGTCAGGGTTCTCCAGAGAAACAGAGTCAATAGGGTGTGTGTGTGTGTGTGTGTGTGTGTGTGTGTGTGTGTAAAATAAGTAAAAAGATTGATTGGTTTTAAGGAATTGGCTTATGCAATTATGGAGGCTGGTAAATCTTGCATCTTTGGTGTGAGTGGGGAGGCATCTGGTTGGAGATCCAGGAAGAGCCGATATTGCAGTTTGAGTCTAAAGGCCGTCTGCTGGCAGAATTCCCTGTTGCTCCAGGAGGTCAGTCTTGTTCTAATCAGGCCTTCAACTGATTGGATGAGGCCCACCCACGTTATAGAGGGCCATCTGCTTTACTCAAAGTCTACTGATTTTTTTTAAAATTTTTTTTTCAAAGATTTTATTTATTTATTTGACAGAGAGAGATACAGCGAGAGAGGGAACACAAGCAGGGGGAGTGGGGGAGGGAGAAGCAGGCTTCCCGCTGAGCAGGGAGC